TACTGTTGGTACCAAGCGGGTTTCTATAGCTTCCACTCTCATCACCTGTTGTCATGCATTCCACATCAAAACAACCGCCGTGTACAACTCCAAAGTCAGCGGTATTGCATCAAGATACAGGTTTTCCATAGTGCGGTATCCGTAATCGGTTGGGGGGCACAAATGATTTTACACCAAGACAACCAACTACCCGTGGCCAACTGGGGGAAGAGGCAGCTACATATACCAGTCACACCCCGCTACAACGCCTTGTGACATACGAATTCTTCACCGTTTGTCGATACCCGAGCCTATCGTCGTACGGCAGGGTCGTCAACCCTGCGGCTGCGTAGCAGATGTTGGTCCTTGTACCAGTATAACCTCGACTCGATCAATACGAACCAACCTCACCTCCTGTTCAGGGGTCCACCCCGGTCCCGCCGCAATCCTAGTGGACGCCGCTTCGATTTCGGCCGAAAGCTTTGTCGCCGTCTCTTTCTTTGCCACCTCGCTATTTCGGACCTCGCCGAGCAACTGCTGCATGTTCTCCAGCATGGCCTGTATTCAAAAAGGTTTCAATGCGTATTGCAGGCTTCAACGGCACTGAAGCAGCTGCATTCAAGCGAACCTGCATAGCAGCAACTTCTTTGCGCCTTCACGCGTTTACACTGGTGTGTATGGGCACGCACATGTAAAACTTCGTACCGACAGCACGTTTTTCGATGTTCCCAACCCTCGGTGAATGACAGCTTCGCTAGGCAACCGCTAAGCAGCAACGTACCACAGGACGCAATCATAGCGCCATCTTACGTTGTTCACACCGAAATAACCGCTTTCTCTTACCAACAAGTTAAGGCGGGAACTCTTGGCATCTTCTTCGTATGTCTCCAGGTTTCGAAGCTTTTCCCGGTGGCCGTTTAGTTCTGCCGTCAGCTGATCTTGCCACTGCCTAGCGTACGCAATGCTCTCCAAGCTAGCCATTGCCGAATCATAGAGCTGCTGGTAGTTCTCGCGAAATGTGTCTATCCCATGCCCATGACTGCGTTGTTTAAGTACAACGCTTAGTTCAATAAGACGGATTCTTCGTACGCGGATGAACTCATGTTATAGACTATCGTCTTTTTGATCCTGTTTGTGGAAACCAGGATATAAGTATCTTAGGGGTAATGATGCACATGCGACCAGCAAGGTCGTCGGACTACATGCACAACGTTCTACCGTCCGAAGACGTTTGCCAGGAAAGATTCACAGAATACCGTGACTATTCATGTGACTCTCGGAGATGAGGAGGTGGAGGCGAAAGGGTCCCACGTTCCTCACTCTCACACCTTCCACCTTTCTTGAACTAGCGAAGCCGAGACTCTCGGTTACGCTTGGCACTTCCTCACCACATTACAAGAAAAGCGATTTTACCTCCGTTGGTGAACGGTTATTCACCACTCCAGGGACCCTTTCTAGTAACAGAGAGAGGGTATTCTCATTGGCGTTCGACGAAGAACCTGAGAACACCTGAACATAGCAGTTGAACAGGCAGATATTGCCGAAAACACCTGCGAAACAGCAGGAGCAACCAGCTCCTGCAGGTTCGGTAGATGAGGGGTTCAAGCAAGCCCTCTATAAGAACCAAAAGAAGAAGCTGAACGAGAGGGAGAAGAAGCAGCAAGCGGAAGCCGCTGCTGAAGCGACCCTCCCTTCTAAAAACAAGTCCGCCGACTCCGCGGCAGAGGCAGAGGTGTCTCTTGATGACCCCACCCGGACAACAGGGGGAGACGAGTCCAACCAGGACTCTGACTCTAACAACCAACAAGACAGCGGCAGCGAAGAGGAGGAGCGCCAGCTTGACGAGGACTACGGTGGGTCGCCGGGGATTGCCCGGGACATGCTGGATTCTCACCAGGAGACGGGTGGAACCGTCTCGGCTACGGTTGGCACTTCCTCGCCACATTACAAGAAAAGCAATTTTTACTTCCGTTGGTGAACGGGTATTCACCACTCCAGGGACCCTTTCTCGTAACAGAGAGAGGGTATGGTCATGTTGGTCGACATGTATGCTATGTACCGACCGACGCATCATTGTAGAGGCGACGGAGGTGCCGAACCAGCACCAAACAGCATCAGACAACGATGAAGCAACATTTATCCACCAATTGAGTTGCGTACGACGGATGTGCGCTCGCTGGTTCTCAAGAGGTGAGCACATTTGGCTTGGGAACTGCTGTGTTAACATGAGCTCACCTATCCATCAGCTCGTTGGCGATGTCAAAATCGTCCTGAGCCTGGACCATGAGATTCTTCGTATTCATTGCGGATGAATCCTCCTGTCGTGTACCGTCGTCGAGATCCGGCATGATAGAGCAGAGCACTCCTGCTCCTGGCCGCAGTTATTCTATAAAAAGCACACCCCCGCTCACGCCCCTTGCTGTCGTCTTCGTTGTTGTCTGAGTTAGACACGCCGCACGTTTCATGTGTTCCTCGCTCGCAGGTGTGGATATCATACAACGACGCCCGCCAATACTCAGATCGCTTTGCCACAATTGTTTTGGCTAGACGTACTCATAGGTGTAATCGAGAGTGTGCGCGCACGCGTTTGTGGTGTCGTGTACATAGTCGCGTCGAAAAAGCACAATCTTGATGTCCCACTAGTCTAATGCGGCGGAATAACTTTCCCCGGTGACAGAATGCGGCAGAACAGGTTCCTTTTCGGAGGTCTTGCTGGCTCGCCAAAGCCAAACCTGCGGCAGCCTGCTGCTACAGCATTAGGTGCTCGGACGACTTGGCCAGAGCTGACACACCTCATTCACATTTTTCGGCAAAATAACCGAACCATCACCATAGAGACCTTTTCAGATATCGAGGACTCCCGAAGGTGGTGTGGGGATATCGTCGATGTTTGCAACAGGCGGTTGAATATTTAGCATCAACAGGACACAGACACAAGGACACTCAAGCCAGGAGCGACACGCCAGCTCCTAACCGGTGACAAGGCAAGAAGAGGATGGCAATCGACGCTTTAGGAAGCTCGAGACGCAACAGTGGTCAACAGATCGGGGAGAACAGCCCCCCTGCCGCAGCTGAAGGCGGCAACGAAAAAGACGGAGTCGGAGTGGGAAGTAGCAATGCGTCAGTTCCTACGTTCGAGATCAGGGAATACTCGGACTCGGCGAGCGATGATGAAAACAACGATACAGCGGAGGCAAAAGAGAGCGCCGAAACAAAACGAGTCGAAGATCGAGAAGAGAGCGGAGACGACGACCGGCACCGAACGGCGTCCGACGAAGAACACGAGATGGATATGGCGCAGCAGAAGAAAAACAGACGGGCACGGGCTCAGCCCGGAGCCAAAGGGGGAGGGCGACGAGACACGGGAAGAGGTGGTTGGTTCCAGTTGTTAGGACGGAAGAAGACTCAGTTCGAGCCCGGTGATCTCGTCGAGGCCGAGTGGGCTGGAACTGGGTGGTGGTACGTGGGGTACATCGGGTCCGGGTCTGGGGAGCGGGGAGAAGAATCTACGGGTGGTACGGGTGGTGTACCACAAGCGAAAACTTCGAAACGAAGTAAAGAGTTGTTTCACGTCGTGTTTGAAGACGGCGACGAGGCGGACGTTATCAGGAGAGACTTGAAGCGACTGCAACCAACAGGTAAAGAGGATCAGATATATTCAGCATCTCAAGAGATTGCATGATGTTTACTCCCCATCTGTAGAGGCGTTTCTGAAAAAGTACCCACGCCATGTGCGTCGCACCCAATGCTGTCACTTACTGTAAAAGGCACATAAATTGCACACCCTTTAGGGGTATTATTAACGCAACGGAAAAGTCGTGCACTTTTTCTCGGAACGGTGAAAAGAATCCCCGACTTTTTTTCGCTTGTTCTATTCGTGATGTCATCACAAAAAATACGTTTCCTTCCCTGAATACACGCTTGCTCGGCACACAACAGGTTGACATGGTATTGCTCACCATAGAGCAGCGGTAAAAGCGCAATGAGCAGCAACCGACACAGAGGACAACACACTTAAAAAGATCCCGCCCACCCGGCCTGCTGTTTTCAGTTTTCAGCAGCGACAGGCGCAGGGCAGAGTGTCGCCACCTGGGTGTTGCTTGCGATTTCTTCAGTTTGCCAGCTCATTTTTCACGGTTGCGACTCCCTTCTTTGACCACCACCTGCCCAAAGGTAGACGAGCTCAACAATCATAGGGCAGCAGCCACGCTGACAGCCAGCATCATATAGATGGCCAATCCGAAAGAATTAGCGTGTCGGAGGCCCTGTTGCTCTACAGCTGGATTGATGTTGATGTGTCGGACCAAAATCAGATCATCTCGCCGCATTTTTTCCAACGGCATTTTGGTGAGGTGGCACACGTCTCTCGCACACTTTATTGAGCAACACCCAAGCACCCAATACCCACGAAGCAGCACGACGCCGGGAGATGGTATCATACAGACAGCCGAACCGAAGGAATCAGCGCGTTGGAGGTCTTGGTGCTGCTGCTGTACTCGTTCTACTGTTTCCGTGTTTGCCATGCGTGATTGAAAGAAATTCTCCGGCACCAACAGCAGCAGTTGAAGACGAGAGCACCAAGCAATGTCTAGTTTTGGACCAAGAACGGACTGAACGCCGCTTCTGCCGCTTGTCCGTCTCCACAACAGACCTGGACGTGAGTCTGGCAGGTCTTTCTAGCGTTCTCAGTGATGTTACAGCGCCCGCGTTGCGCTTGTCCGATGCTTCTGTCAAAAATACGCATCCGTGAAAGTAGCAAGCCCCAAAACATCCCGGCTCCTTCTTTCCACGTTTCCGGGGAAAAACGCCTCCATATATGTTCAAGAAAACACGCTTCCGTGAAATTTTCCGTGTTTTTTTGTCGTTAAGAACACCCCTTAGTCCCACCTCCGGCGGACGGCACAACCAATCGTCAATGTGGGCACTTAAACGTATCTCGCGGATGCCCTTGTCGGAGCCTGATGCACTTCTTTTTGACGATGTTGCGTAGACTTCAACCTTCACAAAACATCAAGAAATAATGCCCCTATTCGTGGGCAGCTTGTCTCACTCGTGTTTTTCTTCCGGCTCACTTTTGGCTCAAGGTACGCCCAGAGCAAGCAGTGGTGTGACCACGTTGCCACGACACGTGCCGGTTGCCGACCTCGGATCGGGCCGTCTACATATCGACCTACCATCATCAAAACCAAGCCAGGGTCAGGAGGGGGGAGGGGAGAGCGGGAGAAACCGTAACAACAACCTGGGCCGCAACGTGAAGAGACATTCTTCCAACGGCAAACAGCGAGACACAGAAGAAGAAGCGGCATCATCATCGCTCGTCCGAAAGGGAAGCTTGGGGAACATGGACAACCGGCTTCGCCAGGGCGAAAAAGCGCTGTGGGGCGGTCGCGGCTCTCCAAGTGTCGGCTCTCCGGCCAACGCCAGCGGGAATGGCGGTGACAGTCCACGTGGGGACTGGTGGGAGACCGGTACGCCGTACGCGTTCCAGCCACGCCTTGCTGCGGCCAAGGCGACCGTGATGGCTTTCGTCGATGACGATGGCGATGATGGTCGGACGCCATCGACAACCAACAGCACTGCCTCGGGGTTATCTTTGCGGCATCAACAGCAACGGCGGCCCATACAGGGTGGCCGCGGGAGGAGCCACTTGGGCGCGCCCAGGGGTTCGAGCCGGGAGTTGTTGCGCATCGTGAAGGCGCCAGAGACCAACGAAAGCCACGGGCAAAGGGTCTTCTTCCTAGCTTGATCTAGAAGGCGCGCGTGGTTGATACGTGTGGCGTACCAACAAAGGCGCGTTCTGTGTGTAGCGAGGAAAAATAGCAAGGTGGAAGGCGTGTGACCCCCTTCCCAACCAAATACAAGAGCAGGCAGCACGGCCACCTGACATACAGGTTGGCAATTTATCAGGCACGCCACGTTAGTAACCTACCCTGCAAAATGAACAGGCCCTTCGGGTAATGGTTTACCAGTGACGTCGGTGCAACAAACTGCTTTAGACCTCACGAGCGCACGACTACCCCCTTGAGTTTACAATACCACCGAAGCTCCAGTCATCTTTGGTTCCTAGAGAGCTCGTGGTCTGGGTACAATGTGTTGGGCCTATATCTTGCCTAGTCAACGCGTGGGGTCTTTCAGTACAGCAGTGCGTCATTCAGCAAATACGGCGTTTTTGCGCAGAAAATAGTCTCACGTAAATTCAAATATAAATTCTCACTTGAACAGACAACCAATTCTTCCCTTCTTCCCGATGGAAAGCACCAAGAAACGATCCACCCGCAGTTGCAAAGACCACGACAATGCACTCAACCCACGATAACCACCACCCTTACCGCACAGTCGACCAATGTTTTCCACATTCGAACGCCCTCACCACACAGACACACAGAGAAGTATTTGTTGCGCTGACAGCAGCGCACACCGGCGGTACTATCCCAAACAAAACACAGAACCTAGCGTATTAAACATCGACTCTCAACTTATAAACCGGCACAACAATAATTTTGGGGATGTGAAACCAAGCGACCTCGGGCACACTCGCTTCCACGCCCAGCAAAACAAACCTAGAACATATCCGGCGGATAGGATGCAGAAACAGGATAAGAACAGCCCCCCCTCGAAGGCTGTGGCGTACGTCCCTGTTGTCGTCTACCGTTTGCTACCACATTCATCACATGATTCAGCCGTACCACACGCCGCACAGTATGAAACCTCACAGCCAATACGCGCACACGACAACAGAGACACGCGACCCCGCTTCGGGGGGGTTTGAACGGAAATCACACTTCTTGGAAGACTCCCATCGAAATAACCAATGTCACTGAATTCTCGAATGAACACCACCACACTAACAATAGAATACCACTAAATACTTCATACCTCTCACCAAGAACAAAGTTTGCCCCGCCAAAGCAGACGGCATCCAGACGCCCAACTCACGGGGGAGGGGTTGATGGCCGATTCTTCTATGAACAGCGATCGCCGCCGTCTGTATGTATACAAGCACAAACCACGAAGTGAGCTCAGAACCACTGTAGAAAGACAACATACACCCCCATACCCCTATTGCACTGCGCCGCCTCTTTTTCCCTCCCAAATGCCCCCCCCCACCCCCCGCCCGAGCAAGCGTTCATCAACGTCTATCCCCCTGCTCAAAGACGGAGACGGCGTCAAGCTTCTGAATAGACTAGTATTTTTGTGCCACAGCCTCTCCGCTGCACGAGAAAAACACATTTAAAACAATATGCGCTGAAAGTTACCCCAGTGCTTACAACTGTCTCTGGAAGTGAACGCACCAGAAAATAAATTAAGTCATACGCAGCTGTCATCCGTACGCAAGGAAGTAAGCAAAATATGCCGAACACCCTTAGCAGGATGCAGCTCACCCTTCATGTGACTCGTCGAATACCTCACGGTGCTTCGCGCTTGGTGATGTGAGAGCCTGGTCCGGTGAGAACCCGGCGTGCTCCGTCCCGGCTTTGTAGGAATGCGAGGTCAATGGTCTAACGACTACGGGATGCACGACTATGAGTACACCTCCCCCACCCCCACCCCTATTTCTGACAAAGCAGAACCCACCCAACGAAAAACGGGGAAGCCGAACCGCCGCTGCAGGTCTTTCTCTCGTCCTTTTCGCCATCTAAGCTACACGGCGTTCATCCTAAGCAGCCAGCTTGCTAGAGAAGCACATCTCGACTGACCTAGTCTCCGCGCAATATTGCTGCAACGCCGTGCCTCCTTTGGCGCTGACGAGGCACGTGCACGAGTGCTGAGCTGTTTCACCACCACTGCTGCACCGCGACCGTTGTTTCAGACGAGCAGACTCCCCAACTCCCAGACGTCCCAGAATCCAGATGACATCCAAGACAATCATCACACACCGCTGACATCCAAGACAATCATCACACCCCGCCCCCCGCCCCCCACGATAGACACGCATCGACCCCCCCTTCGAGGGTATAACTAAAAGAAACGCATCAATTTTCTCCTCCTCGAGCGTGCTCTCGCGCAATTGAACAATAAAATGAATTAAGCCCCGGGCGTACTATGATAACCGGCGTGTCATGCTCGTTTTTGTTAATTTTGCTGACCGACACCTCGCACCTATCAAAAGAAAAAACAAAAACAACCTATCGAGTCTCGGTCAGGCGTACGTATCACTAAATAGACACGCTGCATCTCCCCAGAAAAAAAGAAATTGATCAGGTGTATCTAGACACCACAGTAAGAAAAAGACGATACCAAGCTGTTATCGGCCAATGAGGTTGATAAGATTGATCAGTACACGCCGAGGCTGGCCCTCACGCCGGCAGAGCGAAGGATGTCTGCCACCCTCTTCTTGTCCTCTTCGCTCAGGGGCCTTCCGTGTGTGCGTGCGCGCGCAACCGAGGACAGATCGTACAGGGAGTAGACAGAGCGGGAGGGGCGGGAGAGAAGGATGTCAGACAGGTACGTAGGACTTTCGCAACCGAACAGCAGGCGAGTTGTAAAAGCAAAGGAATGCTTCTGGTTGGAATGGTGAATGTCAGCAAAACCTATCTGTGTGATCTGCGCCTACATTGAATTCCCGCAACATTTCGACAAACCTTTACAAATTCTACCCCGCCTTGCTTCTACCATAACGCTGCAGAGACAACACAATCTAGCGTTGACCTCCCCCTCCCCCCCCCGTCCTCCTCGCTTTTATCCGCCCCCTAACTCTCCCTGAAAAGGCGGGAAGAAATATCGATGGGATATGTAGAGTCGGCAAACAAAAAATCGAGCCACACTTGGCAAAGTAGGAAGGAACGATTGGCCATCGGTGATCGGTCTTGTGGGAACAATGCTCCGTCCCCTCGAGGACGCGTGGCCAATGGTCTGACCGTGAAGGCAGGCAAAACATAAACACACACACCCCTTCTCCCTTGTCTCTTACTTGTCGTCGCCCTCCTCCACCACCCGAGCCAGGTCCTTGACGGCCCCTTCCTCCCGGATGTACGAGAACGCAAGGTCTCCCAGGCGGTCTCGAGGCTGGGCGTCGATGAAATTGATACCTGGTCGGCACCGCAATCAAGACAACTTTGAGAGTTCAACAAGATGAGAGCGGTTAGACCCACGAGGCCCGTGGTCGGGCAATAGCCGAGGGGCCAAACAAGACGAAAACGCCGACAATAATACAGAGGGAAATGCGCGGGGGGGGGGGAAGACGTGCAGTAATAATAGGGATGAGGTCGGGGCACTGTCTACGATCGGATGAGCGATTTGTCCCGGGCCATCGTTGCAGAGAGGGGGGGAAGAGCATGAGAGAGCGAGAGCGAGAGGGAGAGGGAGGGAGGGAGGGAGGGAGATAGAGACAAGATAGAGAGAGAGAGAGAGAGAGAGAGTTGCGAGGCTGCGAAGAAACTTGACTGGCGGTCAATGTTTCAATGTTTTCCGTCCATATTAATGTGTCTGTTTCGTGTACCTTGTCCGAGCATTATGGGGGAAAAGCAACAAACGATTTGCCCTCGCTCAAAAGAGAACAGGGTGGACATCTTTCGGAAAGAAGCAGCAACGACCATCACCCCAGTCAAGTCAGGACAAGATCGAATGCAACAACCTGAAGACACAGAGGAGAGTTAACCTCAGTGAGATCAAACACTACGGCATGACCCACCCGAAAAACGTCCGTCATCCGCCATGGAAGGTAATACCACGCGGTTTCATATCCTCCCCCGCTATTATACTGGGTTCAAAGCGTTCAAGTCACATGCATGCTTTTCTGAGATCGAGTCAGAACTTGTCACTCGCATGAAGCGGTACTAGTTTCCAAAGCCGTCTATCCCCGCGCGTCCAGCACAGATGATTTGATTCTACCGCAAAGCAATGTTTTAACTATCAAGACTCAACCGACTCGTTCATTAGATTCCGTCTCGTTCTCTCACACAAACGTTTGGTGGCCGATGACGTCTACAAGTTGTGTTGTCCCAAGCTATCGCGGCTTTCCGCACGGGGTTAGCCCCCCCCCCCCCCCCCCCCAAAAATGCTTTTTACAACTTCTCCAAAAACCCCCGTAGCCCCCCCCCCCCCCGCCCCCGTTAAATTCCCCCCTTTTCCGAGGGCCGGGG